GAAATATCATATGCACCGTGTGCGAGAGAAGGTCACCAGAAAGTGGGGGATTCTTAACCTCAAAGCAGTGCATTTCGGAACCAAATGCATGAAGACTGATGTTCACTCCATATTTGTGCCAGAATGGTTATATAAAAGCTGAGTGATTAAATGGTGCACAGATTATACGCTGCTTTCTGCAAAACAACAAGGAAAAAATGCTTTAAAGTGGTTTAAAATGGGACTGGCTAAAATACATATAAAATAATAAATCAGAAAAATAAAACCAGGAACTTATAACAAGATAAAACTGTGTGAATTATTCAAACAACTAGCATCAGTAGTTAGGTTATATACGTTTCTGGTATGCTCCTAGACGTAGGAAGGTAGATAAACAATCAGGCTTCTTTTGGTGAGGCATACCAAAGAATGGGCACCGCCTCACAGTAGCCCACGGTGTGAGTTGCCATCGGTGATGGCTTGGAAGGTGCAAGGGAGGGGGTGGAACGAATCATATCCTGTCCCCTCCTACACATTTTAAGGCACTGCAGGGTCTGCAGCCATAAAGCCTATCCATTTGCTGTATTCTAACAGCATAGAGAGGGACTTGAATCAATGAACTGCAGCTGGGCTAACCCAGCCATGAGGTGGAGTGAGACAGTTGCCTCAGGTGGCATTTGGGGCAAGGGCAGACCCATCCATTCACCACTGCCTAGCTCAGGAGCCACTGCAGGGGAGGGACAACAAGGCCAATAATGGTAGCAGCTGTGCAGATGTTTTGAACGGGTGCTGGCTGTCTTCTCCCTTTCTGTGTGCGGCCAGATGTTTGCCTAAGGCCAAGATACCACAGGGCTCCTCTCACTGCGCTTCGTCACCTCAAAACCCAGGTCATAGGCAAACAGCGGATCATTTTCTGAATGGGGATCTGAAAGAACTCAGCATCATGGTTGCTGCCAGCCTTGTTTTCCTTTCGCCCTCACTGCTCCTGGATGTGCTTGCGTATAGCGTCAGTGGCTGGCTCTGGCTCTGACTCGGGCAGATGAAGTGTCAGGAAGCAGGGTAGCAGAATGCAGGGCAAGAGGCAGTGCTTCCTCTTCATCTATCTTAGGTTCTGGGAGAGCTTGTGCTAGCAGGGTCATTTCTTTGTGCTCATGGTTTAAGACCACCTTAACAGCTTACTCCAATAACAAAGGCAAAGGTTCCCCTTGACATTTAGTCCAGTCGTGTCTGACTCTAGGGGGTGGTGCTCATCCCCGTCTCCAAGCCATAGAGCCAGCATTTGTCCAAAGACAGTTTTGGTAGTCACGTGGCCAGTGTGACTAGAATGGAACGCCATTACCTTCCCACTATGGTATTACCTATTTATCTACTTTCATTTGCATGTTTTCGAACTGCTAGGTTGGCGGGAGCTGGGACAAGCGATGGGGGCTCACTCCGTTGCTTGTATTTGATCTTACTGCTGGTCTTCTGACCTTGCAGCACAGAGGCTTCTGCGGTTTAACCCACAGCGCCACCGTCTCCCAATAACAAAGGAGCAGACAAATATTTAGTTCTATAGTGGCCTGCAGAGCTGGGAAATAACCAGTTATAAGTACTGTAATATACTCTACAGTGACTAGTTAGTTTTCTAGGTAAGGAGATTGTAAATAAGTTAATTTTCTGCTGTAACAAGAAACATCTTCTATTTAAAATTAAAAATTATTTTCAAGAGGTGTGTGTGAAGCATTTTCAGAAGGATTGTGACAGAAAGCTCTCATGTTTTATGCTATTCATCAATACCAAATGGTAAGGCAAGTACAGTGGTGCCTCGTACTACGAGTGCTCCGTTTGATGATGAAATCGCATCACGACGAAGATTTTGCAATCGCAAAAGCGATCGCAAAATGATGTTCCCTGTGGGGGAATTTCACTTTGCGATGATCGGTCCCCTCTTTCGCTAACCGATTATCACAAAGCGATGATTTTCGGCCAGCTGATCGGCGGTTTCAAAATGGCCGCTGGGTGAAAAACATGGCCGCCCGCTGTTTTCTGGCACGGATTCCTCGCTGCACGGGCAGTGAAAATGGCTGCGCTATGGAGAATCTTCGCTGGACGGTGAGTTTTAAGCCCCTAGGAACGCATTAATTGGGTTTTAATGCGTTTCTATGGGCTTTTAAAAATCACATGATGACATTTTCATTCGACAGTAATTTTTTTAATTTTTTTGGAACGAATTAACGTCGTCATGCGAGGCACCACTGTATTGTTTTTTCTTTTCAAGGTGCAATATCAGGATTGGCCACTAGGGGAAAGCAGAGAATATTTATCTGTGGGTTTTGTTTTGGGGTGCGTGTGCGTACGCCCCCCCCCACATACTGCTAAGGTTACTGCAAGGTGGTTTTTTACCTGGTGGCCATTTTGGAACCGCTGATCAGCTGTTGGGAAAACATCGCTATGCAAAAATTGGTAAGCAAAACAGCTTACCGATCATCACAAAGCGATTTTTCCCATTTAAAATATCGCAATGCGATTGCTTTTGCGATCGCAAAAACCAAATAGCTATGTGATTTTGTCATTAACCGGGGCGCTTGTTAAGCGAGGCACCACTGTATTGTTTTTTCTTTTCAAGGTGCAATATTAGGAGTGGCCACTAGGGAAAACCAGAGAATATTTATCTGTGGGTTTTGTTTTGGGGTATGTGCACGTACACACCCACACCCACACCCACACTGCTAAGGTCACTGCAAGGTATTAATGCACAAATGAAAAGAATTATTTTTCCAGATGTGGCAACAACAATGGTAACACCAACCTATCTGTTGAAAAATCATGACTAACACAAGAAGCTCCTTTTAAATTGTATCATTCCACGTTCTACATTTAGGGAGGTATTTGAATTAAACTGTCTATCTATTTTACTGGTATATATTTGTGAGCCATGGTGCTGTAATGGATAACGTGGCAGACTAAGACTAAGGAGACCTAGGTTTAGATTCCCACTTGGCTATGGAAAATCTCTCGGGATGGGGTGGTAGCCCTGTTTACATATCTCCTTAAATATCACATATGCCAAGCTGGATGCAACTTGACAGCATGCAATAGCAGCACTGGATCTTCATATTACCTAGACTTTGGAAGAAATTGGTTACAGATTAATTCCTTTGTAATTTATTCGTTTTCTCAATAAAACAAAGTTTTGCTACATTGCATTATGATTGTAACTTAATAGCTGGTATCCTGTTCAGATTGTAACAGAAATAATGTAAGCTCTTCCATGATCTGGCAGACCCCCATATTACACAACCAACTCCACAACAGGTTGCACAACCCATCTTGCAACCAGTACAGGACTGGACATGCATCAGGGAATGTACCCAAAGCATGGGGACTCCTCATGACTGTGTAATGCAACAGGATGTTGGCTACTGAGGGATAACTTCACTCCGTTTGTGGCGCAAGTGTAACATTTAAAGTTACTTTTATAATTCTGGGGGTATGGTCTTAGTAAATGATAGAGAAGGGTCGTGACATAGTCCAGAGGCTGGCTTGTTAAGCTGCCTTGCATTCTGTGGCGGGTGCTGGGGCAACAATGAGGTGGATAGGAGGAGTGTGTGTTTTTGCCATGAGTCAGAAGCTTCTGGCATTCAGATTTTCTTTTAAGGTACTAAAAGAAGCTGTCTTAGTTCCTTCTAAGAAACTAGAAGTAGAGTTGATAAGATGCCAAAGATGTTTTGGCCTGTTGCATAATGTAGTAAGTCACATTACAGTAGGCTAATGTTTCCTCTAAGTTGTGGGCTTGTGCACTCACCCAGAGCTCCATCAGGGCTGCGCACAGGCAGCCGGCTAGTTTATTTCTCATTTTTAATGAAGCCCCACTCGTCCTGCATGCATGAAGCAAGGCTCCCATGCAGCGGGATAGGAAATTAGAGGGAATGTTGCAGTAAATAAAATCAGGATTCAAACTACTAGGCCCTCAACGTTGCAGTAAACCCATTGAATTATTGCGGATTTAGTCAGTAAGCTGCTCTGTAAGTTCCATTGGTTCAAATTGGTCTACTCTAAGTGTGACTTCCTATGGTAGAGTAAGTCACAACTAGAGTAGACCCATCTGAGTCAATGGAACTTACAAAGGAGTTGCCTCACCAAACATTCATTGATGTAGTGGGTCTAATTTAGGATGATTTACTACATTAAGCAACAGGATTTTGGCCATGGAGTCAAATTCCACAATGAGATATCACAGAAAGGGTAGAGTAAGTCAAATAAATAACATTTTTTGGCTATCGGCAGAAGACAATTCCAAAGGTTTTTACCTATTTCCCAAGCATGTTGCAGGAGCAGGGTACATATCTACAATTCTCAAAAAGAATCACAGACAAATGAAATCCATATCCAACCAACGAGATCCATTTCTCTTTCCAGTCCACCACAAAAGTTGTTCATTTAAAGTCTTAATTTATAGTCTTTTGTACTGAGTCTTTTGTACCAAATGATCTGTTATTTAAATATTCCCACAGCTGAGAACTTAGCTTGTAATCAGCTTCCTTGCGGTGTGTACATCTTTTAAGGAAGCAATTGCAGAAAGTATGGTGTGTATGTTCTTTTCATGATCAGGAAACTCCAAGTAATGGCATAGGCCTCTATTTGTCTCTGCCCACTGGCATACTAACAATATAGTTAATCCTGCCTCTGCTCCAAACAGGTGACTCTAGGAATCAATCAGATCAAGCTGAAAAATGTAGGTGAAGAAAATTGAACAAGTAGTATGAATCACAACAAGCTCCCCACCAGTAAAACTATCCTTCCTTTAACTTTCATTGGCCTACTTCAGTTCCTCACCTGCCTTTCTAGCCATAAATACTTTCTGCCCAGGATATTCCATCTTGTGCAGCAAACTTTCTGAAGGGGTACATTTCTCCTCTTCCACCTATAGTTTAGGTAACTTTAAAAATACAACTGAAACACTTGATAGTGAAGTCATGTCTTTTGTGATGTCAGACTCACAAAGCAAAGTCAGCTGGCAACCGGGGCAACTAGTGGCCTCTCTTTCTGTCCCATGCAGATGTTTGGGATTCTCTGCTGTGCTGAGGACACAGAAAATGGACATCAGAGGCTCACCATGTAAATGAATAGCATGCCAAAAGCTCAAGAGCACATGTTAGAGGAGCAGCTTGGAAACAACACAAGCCGACTCTAGTCTGCGGTATCCGTGAGCCAAAGTGGGCAAGTGGACAGGCCCTCGGTGAGTTCATCACTACTTGGTTGTGGAATTATAATAGAATTCAAATTATAATAACATCTAGTTTTAGGTTTAGTGGCGAGAAAGATATTCCCTGAAGTTGCTTATTTGCTTTTGAAAACATAGTGATGCTTGCGAATGCACGTTCTTAGTGCTCTGCCTCATGAGATGAGCCTTGTGGCGCAGTGGTTAAACCGCTGTACTGCAGCCAAAACTGTGCTCCCGACCTGGGGTTCAATCCCAGGTAGCGGCTCAAGGTTGACTCAGCCTTCTATCCTTCCGAGGTCGGTAAAATGAGTACCCAGCTTGCTGGGGGGGAACAATGTGTAGCCTGCATAATTAACTTGTAAACTGCCCAGAGAGTGCTTGAAGTGCTATGGGGTGGTATATAAGCAGCACGCTTTGCTTTTTGCTTTTTCTTTTGCATGCGAGGGCCTTTTTGTTTAGTAAGGTCCTGTAGGACAACCTCACTTTTGGACTACAATATGCCTATAGCTGTTGGCCCAAGCCTTGAATCTTCTTCAAATGTTTCTTACTATAAAATTAGATTCTTATAACCTGAAGGTGTTGGTGTATGTTGGTCTTCATTCTGTAAAATACCTCAGCAAGCATGACCACTGAATGACAGGAAAAAAGTGTTTACACATTTCTTCTACCCACTTTTTTTCCCCAGAAACGAAAATAAGAATCCAAATCAGATGTAACAAGAAACCAAGGTGAGAATGAGACTATGTTGTAAGAGTGTCAACAAGACACAGGCTCATCCTTTCTCTTCCTTTTGCTCTGCTACATGAATGAAAGGATGAGGCCAAAAACTTGGTTTGTGGTTGACTTTAAACAACAACCGTTTGCTATTATGTTTAAATATGAGACACAGATTCATCCAAGACACCATTAGCTATTAAGCCAGAATCTGAGACCATGGTTTCATATAAGTAATTGTGACTTGTGCTCAGATGTAACAGGAACCTACATTTTATTCCCAACTGCTAAAGGAAGCTTTAATTTTCCTCCTCTGCCACTCAAGTCAATCAGGAAAGTGTGTGAACTCAAGGCTCTCTCTAGCCCAGTGGTTACCCAGATGTCTTGGACTAAAACTCCCAGAAGCCTTCACCACTAGCAGTGCTGGCCAGGATTTCTGGGAGTTGAAGTCTAAGGACATCTGGGGACCACTGCTCTAGCCTAATCTCATAGCAAAACATGGTTTCTCCTCTTTCCTCTTCTAGCTCAGAGTTTCTCCCATGGGTACAGAACCAGATCATGGCTAAATGAGAGTGTATACCTTCTATTTCCAGTGCTCAGTTCCATCCTTATGTGTTGGCTCTGCTCAGCTTGTGATCTGACAACCTGAATTTAGCTCATCAGCTAGCTATTGTGATGTAGAAATGGCTTGTCAAATTTCCCTTCTAGCCATCCCAAGCAAGTAAAAAAAACAACAACAGGCCTACTGAATCCCCAGGTGGGCTTTTCCCTGTGGCAGGAGTCAAGATTCAGTATGACTTGATAAGTCACCTGTCAGGCAGGCTGAGGCTGGGCTAGAGCAGTGGTCTGCAGATAACCTGAGCTATTTGTGGCTGGAAAGCAAAGGTTGAATATGTCAGTTTCACAGGCGTCCAGTTCATAAAACAAAACAACAAGAATGTAGAAAAATTGCTTTTTTTAAAAAAAGGAGAATGCCAACTCAGCTATGACCTATGAAGCAACAGAAGTGAGTTCAGATGGTTAGGAATGAGGGAAAATACTTCTGGGAATACCCAGTGAAACCAGAATCTGGCCTAAATTACGCTGTCGAAGTGCCATTCATTTCAACAAGAAATGGTTAATTACCCCTTTTTCTTCCATCCAGCATATGTTGAACACTCTGAAATCCCATTGGCTTCAGTGAGAAAGATCTAATTGCCTCCCTATTTTTCCCATGGTAAGACTTTATAGCGCTTACTCTGGATCACATTCTCAGTATTTTTGGAAGTTCAATATCTATTCAATAATCCAGTTTAGTCAAAGTTCTTTCTCTTGATCTCTCTCTCTCTCGTTCTCCCCTGCAGTCAGTCAATCAATCAATAAAAAGGAAGAACCTTTTATATAGGCGATAATGGTTCCATAGGAGCCATTTTATCATGCATTTGCCTTGCCTCTGGTGACAGGACTTAGCAGGAGACTGAAAAGTCATCATCTTTCATTTGTAAGCCTCCCATGTTTTTATGTTGTTTATTCCACTTACTTCTCTCTCTCTCTCTCTCTCACACACACACACACACACAGAGAGAGAGAGAGAGAGAGAGAGAGAGAGAGAGAGAGAGAGAGAGAGAGAGAGAGAGAGAGAGAGAGAGAGAGAGAGAGAGAGAGAGAGAGAGAGAGAGAGAGAGAGAGAGAGAGAGAGAGAGAGAGAGAGAGAGAGAGAGAGAGAGAGAGAGAGAGAGAGAGAGAGAGAGAGAGAGAGAGAGAGAGAGAGTTAAGGAAATGAGAGCTGGAGAGACAGATAAAGCCTTTTGATTGGAAGTAATAGGAGCCCCCCACGTGAGAACACCAAAAACCTCATGGCTCCTTCCCTTCCCATTCACAGAGATACAAACCACATCCTCTCACCCATCTGCTCTCCAGTGGTAGTGCTCTGGTGGAGCAGGATGGGGGACTTGTGCTCTTTCCACCCATAGCTCTTTGTGGGCTGGATGACAGTCAGAACCACACCTGATTTCATGGGGATCCCATCCAAATCAGGCTAAAGTGGCCAAGCTCTTCCACCTGTTGTTTCAGGAGTGTTTCTTTGATGTGTGGGGAAAGTGGGTGTTGTTTCAGCCAGTGTCCACAAATGCCAGCTGAGAGTAGCCAGCATTGTCCCACACATATGGAAGTCGGGACACAAGGAGAATGAATCTCTAGGATTATTCAGTATTACTCTTGGGAGATAACATCAAGATTTCTTCTCCCTATCCTATAAAACAGAGGAAATAAGGAAGGAGCAGGGACTGGAAACTCCTCAGGTTGGATCCTGATTCTCCATGAGCTGCAAGCTGTCCTCCCCTATGGATTATTTTCCATAGCTCAGATATTCTAAAATGACTTTACAACTGAGGCACACATGTTGACCAAGTTCTTCTGATAGTGCTAGTGGTGGAGCACTAGTGTCTTATGCATGTGGCTCTGGGCTTAAGTATTTTGCATCTCACTTTCTGCCCAGAGTACCCCATACATCCCATTAGGATAGCCTAGGACCCAAGCTGTGTGTGTGGGAAGCTCCTCAAGTTTAAACCAGATGGGAGAAATGCCTCCCTCCACTCAGACTACAAGCCATCAATGTATCCCACATGATGTTCCTGCAAGCAGATCTCCACCCTTTAGGGCAAAATGAAAACCAGATCAATCAGTATGTTCACTGCTTAACAGTCTACACACAATGGCATACAGGAACCTCAGAGACATGCCCTTCCCTATGACAAAACCAGATAGCTTTGAAGAGAAGTCCGTGTAGCTTTAGGTAGATAATAGTTGGTTCTTCTTTCTTCGAAAGCGCAGATGGTTTGCCAAACCAGAGCCCAGCCTCTCTCAACAGCCATTTCACATGGGTTTTCTTTCTGCAGTTAGAATTTCTTGCCCTTCTTTTTTATTTCTGGATCCCTGGCTATTCATTGCAGTTGGCCGAAAAACCACATCACTTTCTCCTGCAGTTGTGTTAGCATAAATAATTTAACATCAACATTTCAGCTGGAGAAAGTGGTTGTTTGGTTTGTGAGCATGAGATGAACCCACCCCTCTATTTCTACTTGGTTTTCCATCAACAGAGGAAGTAGTCTTGCAGAGTTCTCCCCATGAAAATGGGGGGGGGGAAGCCCTCACCAAAAACAGGGTTTTGTTGTTTAGTTGTTGTGTCCGTCTCTTCGTGACCCCATGGTCCAGAGCATGCCAGGCCCTCCTGTCTTCCGCTGCCTCCCAGAGTTGGGTCAAATTCATGTTGATCACTTTGATGACACTGACCAACCATCTCATCCTCCGTCGTCCCCTTCTGCTCTTGCCTTCACATTTTCACAACATCAGCGTATTTTCCAGGGAGTCTTCTCTTCTCATGAGATGGCCAAAGTATTGCAGTCTCAGCGTCAGGATCTGTTCTTCCAGTGAGCACTCAGGCTTGATTTCCTTCAGAATGGGTAGGTTTGTTCTCCTTGCAGTCCAGGGGACTCTCCAAGAGCCTCCTCCAGCACTACAATTCAAAAGCATCAATTCTTCGGTGGTTAGCCTTCTTTATGGTCGAGCTCTCACTTCCATACATCACTACTGGAAAAACTATAGCTTTGACTATGCGGACCTTTGTCGGCAAGGTAATGTCTCTGCTTTCTAAGATACTGTCTAGGGTTGTCATCACTTTCCTCCCAAGAAGCAGACACCTTTTAATTTCATGGCTGCTGTCCCTATCTGCAGTGATCATGGAGCCCAGGAAAATAAAATCTGTCACTACCTCCATATCTTCCCCTCTTACAGTGGTGCCCCGCATAGCGACATTAATCCGTTCCGGATTAACCATCGCTATGAGAAAACATCGCTATACGGATAGGAAAATGCCATTGTTGTTGTTCCAATGGCTTCTACACTCACCGTAAAGCGATGTTTCCTCATAATGGCAGCCATTTTTGCGCCCTTGGTAAGCGAGGGCAGGGCGCGAAAATGGCTGCGGCCACCGATCAGCTGGTCGCTGGCCGAAAATGGGGCCGGCGCTAGGGCAGGAGGGCGGGGGAAGGGTCCCACGCCCTCCTCCCCAGCTCACCCCTGCTTCTTCAGCCGGCTGACCGGCCGGCGATCGGCCAGGAGGGGAAAGGAAGGCTCCTTTCCCCTCCTGCCGAATGCCCTTCTGGCCGGCGATCGTGTCCATGGAGTTTTCTTGGCAAAGATACTGGAGTGGCTTGCCAGTTCCTGCTCCAGGGGGATCGCGTTTAGTCAAAACTCTCCACTATGACCTGCCCATCTTGGGTGTCCCTGCATGGCATATCCCATAGCTTCTTTAAATTACTGAGGCCCCTTCGCCACGACAAGGCAGCAATCCGTGATGGGGAAGAACAGAGTTAAGGTTGTAGAAATGGGAGTGCAACAAAAAGTTGCAATTGGAGTGCTCTTATTCAGATTTCCAGCCATTCCTTTCCAATGACTGCTGTCACCACCTACCATGCTGGTTTTGTCCCTCCTTCAACTACCAGTCAGCATTCTTTGCCCACAAAATATACTCAGCCCTCACTAGGCTATTTTTACCCTGCTTCCTTAGGTTACCCACCCCCAAACTTTTGTATACCTTGGATCTCCCCAAGTTTGTTGACATCCCTCCCTCATACATGGCTGGAACTGTTTAGCTTATCAAATGACAGGAGTCAAAGTCTAAGCATCAAGAATTGAGGGAGACCAGAATGAGCCTTAGGAATGGTCTCAACACCCTGAGAACTAGCACATCTGACAGATCACCACATAGGAAGAAAAGTGGCTACATTTTCTTACAAAAGTCTCTCTCTTTTTGCTCTGATTGATCCTTCACAGTATTTTGACCAGTTTTTGGATGGCAAGGGCTAGAATCCTCCAGCCAGCATGGCCACCTGGCCCAAGCTCTACTGCAACTCCCAGCATGTCTAAGAATCAGTACTCTGTCCACAAGGAGGCACTCAAAAGATTTGCAAACTTCACTTCTTTTGTTCACATGTTCCTGGACAGAATCATTCAAGGATCTCTGAGAGGCTGAACGCAATGGTGACTGAACACTAAATGGACTTCAACACCATGGCTGAAGTTGGTCCTGGTACAACATATAAATGTTATCAGAAAATACTAAAGGGAGGAAAACCACCCCAAAAGAAGCTCTTGCTGTAGGTTAATGTTGCACCACAAGGGAAGTGAGATGATTCTGGAGGGAAGGGAACGGAGTCCAAGGATGGGCCTGTGGGGGAGATGGTGGGAAAACAGGCTCTTGTCTTTTCGAGAAATCTGCTCCAGTAATTGCATGTGGTAATTAAAGCTGATTCAATCTTTCTATCGTGCATTAATGCTGTTAGTTGCCAACTATGCTCTGATTCCTAAGTACTGTTCTCCCCCCCCCCGCCACAACCCCGCTTTTAAGATAGCACAATAAGGGAAATGGACCATTTGGATCACTCTAAATGCAATTTGTTCAGTTCTTTTCAAGCATATAATCCTGGTACAAAGAAAGGATTTGGAGGGCATTTTCGGCTCTGCAACAACAAAGGCTTGGGCCAGTCAGAAGGCAGAATTGTCACTTGCAGCTGCACTGATAAAAGAGCAGCCACTAAATGCCTCTACAGTTTGGGAGGCTTCTTAGGGAAAACTGAACTTTCTCCATAGCAGGTGCTTTGGCCCCAGTTATCTGACTTTCTTTGGGGGCTGGTCATCGCTTTTTTTTTTCTAGGTCAGGGTGCAGAGCCAGTTCAGGAACAAGGACTGCTGTGGGAAGAGCATCATGAGCACAGGACCGTTGCCTCATGCCGAGCCAAACCATTCACCCATCGGGCCTCATACCATTCGCTCTGACTGGCAGCAGTCCTGCGAGGCTGCTGGGCAGGCTAGATTGTGCTGTGACATCACTGTATGCCCCTAAAGGATGCTGTCTGGGGGGGGGGTTAATTGCCATAGATGGAACTAGACAACTGGTGGCAATGAAACAGGGAGCTTTCTGTCCTGGGTTTCCCTCCAAATACCACTGGAGGAGGGAAGGGAGACCCAAGAGTTCCTGAACTGGGCTCCTGTCTGAGGGGACGAGGTGTATCTCCGTTTGCACTCGAGAAAAGGCATGTCTTTGCAAAGGGAAAAGGATAGAAACAAGACCTCCTCAGAATTCCTAGAGCATCCTTCACCTGCTCTGACCTGGGGTGACCTGCCTTCAACCTAAGGCAGCTATTCTTAGGGCTGCTGGTATCACTTCCTTCCTTCTCTCCCTTTTCTCTTGACCCTCCAAGGAGGACATGTCCTGCCTTTGTTCTCTAGAGATGAAAGGAGGAGCCATGTCTCCTGATTTCTCTGAATTTACTTAGCGTTAGGACAAACCTCTCAAGGGTACATCTCCTAATAAACACATGCTTTCTCGTTTTTCTTAGGAGTGTGGACGTGATTCCTTTACAAAGTGAAAAAGTGTGCTCAGGCAAATCATTCTAAGGGTGGAAATCCACAAGTTAATCTTGCTCCATGTGCAGCCTCCAGCAGTGCCCACCCTGTAAGTCTCTCTGCAAATGCCTCGTCCATTAGCTTTTAATGTATTATCAGAAGCAAAAATGGTGGGGTTGAGAGGCACAGGAGTTGAGATGGATGAATTTACCGGTTTTGCTTTCTCTGACATTTGATTTTTTTTAAAAAAATATTCTCAGTATGAAGAAATATGCAAATGTTAATAAATTCACATATAAATCAAATTAAAAACTTAAGGCTTGCCCACCTACCAGCAGCCAAATTCAAGAGCTACAGCTAATCACAGCACATGGAGGTTGGTGCTGTGTTGGGTTACCATAAGCCCATCAAAGGAGCCCATCAAAAAGAAACAGATGACAGCCCAACTTTGATGGTGCAAACATGGTTCCCAGCCAGAATGCTTAAAGGTTCTGAACACAAAATACCTCAGTGGTCATATCTGCCATTTCCCCCCTTCTCACATTCATATTTTTAAGCATTTGAAAATTCTTTCTCTTCCCCAATAGGAAGGAAACATGGCAAATTATTATTTTTTAAAAAATGAATGGAAATGAAACTCTCTCCCTTCCCAAGTGAGAATGTTTCTCGGAGAGCATCAACAAGGCCTGAGGGAGGGAAAGGATCCCAGGCTCCCTCCCTGCCCTTAATGTCTCCTTCCATGCCTGTAATCTGGTTATCCTGGGAAACATGAGCTTGGGATAATGTGTTATCCAGCTCAATGCTAAGGTATTTCTATCTGGATGAGTTTGTGGAGGATAAGGGTGACTAGCCTTCTCTACTATAACCTAAGTCATTAGAACCGTGATGCTTTTCCTGATATTTTAGTGTGCCTTTAAGAGAGTGCTACGAGATGCTTGGTTTTAAGGCTTCCCCATGCAAAAACCTATAGTGAGGAAGGGGGTTTGAAAGTGAAGGGGTGTGTGTGTGTAGCAGAGACAGCTGTATGAGCAATCTAAAAGGCTTCCTTTAAAAGAGAGCGCCCTTTTTTCCTATTCCATTCCTATTTTTGCTTCTCTTCCTGCTGACAGCCCCTATCTGCATCTGGATGTGAGCAAACTCCAGCACCACTTTGTGAGTCAAGTGTTGGGACATGGCATGGGGCTGATACCGTCTGAAGAGATAGGGCGGCCAGGTGCTCTTGAGAGCAAAAGTTCAATCCCCATCTGCCTCTATTTAGAACTAGAATCTGCAAAAGCAGGTGGTGGCAAGTTACCTGGTGTTGACAGGTCAGATGAGAGAAGGTCATGTCACAGACCCCCTCAGTTAATTCCTCAGCAGGCAGAACAGGGGGCAGCTGATTAAGCAGCATGTGCGCTTAAGGAGGCAAATGCTGTTGAATCTTGGTCTGTGGGTATGGCACTTAAACATGAGTACAAATCTCACCGAACTGCAATGAGGGATCCTCAAACAGTAGTATCTTTACCGCTCACCAATCATCCTTACACAGGACTTGGGTCTCATTAAAATGGAAACAAACAAACAAAAAGACCAGTTCTTCTCAAAGGACATTTATAGGTTATTGCATTTATCACTCATGATAAGTTTTAAGGACACAATTTCAGTAATATTGTTGGAAGTAAACATTTAAATATTTTAAATCCATTGAAGCTCTGGCTGAGAAGGTACACAAGATTAAATGAAATTGTACATCTTGATAGCTTTCATAGGTTCAAAGCACCTGTGAGCCTCCCAGCACCCAAGAACTCTGAAAAATTTTCATTATTATTACAGTATATATTTTTTAAATTGTTGGCCTGGAAAGGCCCCTTAAATGGCCACTAGATGGTACAAGGGGGCTTTCTCAGAAAGAAAAGTAATTTATAAGGCAAAAAAATCTGTTGGGGGTGGGTTGTGGGGGTGGCCCTCCAAGTTACAGGGATCACTGTTTGTGGCCCTTGGGCCCATTCCTGTCACAGAATATGTTACTACCAACATCAATATATTATTGTTGTTGATCAATTTACTGTTTCTATTCCAGCACCTTTTCGGGCTTGGCAGTACAGTACTCAGCTCATGTCTATGAAGCAAGTCATTGATGTCTCCAAGTTACCTGTACACATTACAAACTGGAGCTAAAATGAATGCTCTCCTTCCTTCCCTTTCATGGCAGAGCAAGGTGGTGACTCCCTCAGGTAAAAGCGGTTTCCAGTTGTAATTATATGGACACTGAAAATGAGTCATGTTTTCTATATTTGCACTTGTAATAAATGTTCGAAGTGTAGTTGCACATCCTCTCTACAATAAGGATGTGTATGTTGTTTCCGCACTGCAAATACCCACCCAATCCCGCCTGTGTAGTAAACACCAAGGATATGTGTAAAGAAACGTAAACGGCATGGCTACCTTGCACTTCTTATGTTTATAGCCGTGACGGACACCAGCTGAAAACAATGACTGCTTCCGTATTGGCCATTTACTTTGGAACAGCCATACCTTGCTCATTCACTTTTTAAAAGGCAGCTGCAAGATATCACGAACAAAACATCTTCTCCTTTTATTCCCCTCTTTTGACTTCTGGTGTTATTTTCTTTTGAGCTCCAGAAGGACTTTCTTGTAAAGACAACCCACCCAGTAGAACATTTGGGACAAGTATGTTGGCAAGTCTTTGGATATGAGTCCCAAGTCTGAGTCTGGTACCAAGTCCCGAGTCCCAAGTTTTATCCCTCCCAGAAAAAAGGGAGGGTTAGGTAGGTTCTGAGTTGTGAGTCGGGTTTGTCATTGAAAAGAAAAGAAAAACTGAGTTGAGTCTCAATTGAGTTAGGTCCAACTTGACAGTGAAATCCATGTCTCCATCTCTTAGTTGTGGAAACTCCTCAGGAAAAAAAAATCACGTATCATCATATAACTAAAAAGCTATTTAAAAGCTTTTGAGAGGTGGTTATAGGTTGGTTTGCTAGGCGGCTGTTCCCAAACTTTTTGCTGTTATTTTCTAGTGACTAAGGAGCCTGTGAACAAAGACAGGCTGGGGAGCAGTTGAATCTGGGGTTTACTGTGGAGATTTGAATTTCCTAAGATGGAGGACCAAGCTTTTGTACCTCTCCAGTTCCCAGCAAGTATGTGGGCTACTGTGGATAAAATCTCACTCTGTTGCAAGAGCTGATAAGCCCTGTTTGGATGTGTGCAGAGCCTTTGTCCTCCATTAGACCTCAAGACACAATGCAGATTACATGGCTTCAAAACCAGGCTTTCCTTCCCCCGTCCTCTCCCTGCCTCCTTTTCTAATGCCTTGCCTGATAAAAGGATCTGTGATCTTAAAAGCTTGCACACTGTCTTGTGCATTTGCTTGGTCTAACAAAGGTATTATCTCATTTTGGAGTTTGTCTTAGGGACAACACAGGAGCCCCTGCTTTAGATTGAGGGCTGGCTTTTGAATTGTTGTTCTTTAGGTGCATCGGCTTGTCTGCCCTCCTATTTATTGCAAAAGAAGCAATTGTAATGTTAACCCGTTATGTCCAAGCTGTGCTTTTGAGTACTGCCTTCAGGGAGAATGCCTTTTCTTGTTTGCACCCCATAGGCTATGAAAAACACCAACTGGCAGATGGCCCTTACCTTGGATCAGATTTCCAGCTTTGACCAAATTCTATGTATGTATGTGTGCATGGTCATGAATGTGTTCCAAGGTACAAAACAAATGTTTAATCAGATAAAACTGCAAGGCAGTTCAAATATTAAACATAAAAGGGAAACCTACTGGTTGAAACAAAGGAATAAAGGAGGAGAGGGAAGGGAAAAAGAAGTTGAAGGAAAAGTTTGCACTAGCTAGGGATGTGCCCTTTGGATTTTTTTTTTACTCCAACTCCCAGAATTCTCCAGGAATGTCCAACACACAGAGTCACCACTTACAGACACCTTCAGATACCTACATTTCACTCACCTGGAAGAGGGCCTGTCTCTGAGCTTCCATGACTGTCTTGGGCCTGTTTTTCCTGTTAAGGCATGGTCACACTGATAATAAGAACTGCTGTTGAATTGGGTTTTGCATAATTAAAATAATTTTTTTAAAAAAATCCTGGTTCCATGACGCACAGAGAAAACGGCTTCTTTTTGACCACAAAGCAAAGTTTTTTTTGAAGAGGCCAGTAGGTTTTTTTTTTTAAAAAAAAATTAACACGTTTCTGAAGTTAATTTTTCATGAATCACTTTGGGCAATGTGAGCACCCCTGTTGTATTAAATATTGCCTTTGCGGGTGGTCATGGTTTATGGAGGGCAGGGACACTGCCATCCATCCAAAATATATATTTTAAAACTTTAGCACTGCATCGCTATAATGATATGCCACTTAATTTATTTATTTAAAGAGTGACATTTCAAAGGATGCCGGAAAACTGAAGAAATGCTGCACAACATTGAAATCATGGTCTGCAAACATGCTGGACAATGAAAGGATTTAAAACCTCACATGCACTTTCCTGAAGCAGTTTTAAGTCCCTACTTTATATCAGAGTAATACTTTTCAAAGCAAATGCACACAGTGATACAAAGACCATGTGACTGTAAATTGATTTTTTAAAAAACTGGGAGCAGAATTGATGCAAACCAGCTGTGTCACCAAGCCTTAAGTAATGTACAAAAAAGGAAGCTGCTGTGGTGTTTTCTGGGAGTTGTAGTTTTGCTAATCTTTAGGTTCTATAGGCATCTCCGGCAAAATCTTCATGATCACCCAAATAAAAGTGCCTAGATGGGTGCCTGACCCATCTGTGTGTCCTTGTGTGGACACTACAATCCTTGACTGTGCTCATTATGGTGTTGTCTGTTATCTTGGCTTGCAGAAGCCTCTTGGTGGTTGGTGGACTTGTGCAGAAGATGCTGCTCTTTTACTGCTTACTCCATTAACAGACTCTTAACTGGTTCAGCCCAGAGAGATGTCATCTTCCTATGTCACCTCTGCATCCTTTTGCATCAGGATAGCTTTAGGTTTCCTCTGGAGATAGTGAAGCATGCTGATAATGCAAAAGATTAAATCATTCCCTCTGTTTACTGAGTGTCTACAATGTGTGGAGAAGGCAGCGCTAGGATCTGTCTCAAGTTGGAAGTCCTGCCACATTGTGTTTTGTTTCTTCTGAAAAACCTAATTAACTGGTCCAAATTCTTTGTCTAGAACCAGAGTTGGTTCATGGCAATGGCTGGGAATATGATGTCTCCTGCTCCTCCTCTGCAAAGACAATCACATCATCCTCTTCCTCTTTCTTTTGCTGCACCTGGACCCTACCTGTTCTGCCACAACAAAGAGGTCATCCACTGTGCTCATCTCACAGTCTCTGACACCTGCCGCAGGAAACTCCCAACCTATAATAGTAGAGGAGGCCATGTTCTAGCCAATCCTGGCTCCTGCCTTCCTCCCTTGCCCAATAGGATCAAATACCAAGTGCCCTCCTGGAACCCTTCAGAGAGACATCTGCCCATCCTTGAACGTTGCCCTGCCAAAACATTCTTAACTGCACCATGGTGGAAAAACCCGGTCCCTGGCTGTTCTCTAAAAGCCAACTTGTCAGTGCCGGACTGTTTGAATTTGGCATAGTGGTAGTAGCCTGGTTGAACAGACGTGTGGCCAGGGAAGTCTATCTGCACAGTCCTGGCCCTCCTCTTGCCATTGGTTTCCTTACTTTCAGAGCAGAAGGGCAGCCTGTCACTTGTACGCAGCCAGGCAGTGGGCAGCTGAGGCAGGACAAGATAGGCATGGGTAGCCATCTTTGGCTAGTTAAGGCCAGCCAGCAGAATATTATCTCCCTTTGTTGTTACTCCTCACTTCAAAACACAGTGCTTTGTTGTTAGACAGTCAGACGGAGCGTCCCTGGTTTGTTAGTTGACTTCCCCCCCCCATGTAGTCAGCTGCATAATCGGTGTATAAGCTCCAGCCTCTCCCATGGTTTACAAGGGATGCTAAAAGACGGCTGGAAGAGCTAGCTTTCACAGTCAGAAGGAGAGATAAAAGAAAATGGGCATCATGGACTTCATGTCTGAAACTCTTGCGATGTCTGTTCTAGTAGCTGAAATAGACTTCAGAGGCTATTTTTCTCCACCTCTTTGTTGGTTTCTGCGTAGCAGTTATAGCCAACATTCCAATACCCTGTTTGCTCTAGTGAACTAGGGCAGTGGTTCCTAACTTTGGGTCTCCAGATGTTCTTGGACTGCAACGTCCAGAAATCTTGACCAGCACAGCTAGGGAGGAAGGCTTCTGTGAGTTTTAGCCCAAGGACATCTGGGGACCCAAGGTTGGGAACCACTGCTCTAATGCAAACAGCCAGTGTACTGAGCTGACAGAGTTTTGCACTAGGGCTCAGGATTTCAGTCCCCGTTTCACCGTGGAATCTCGTTGCGGGTGTGTGACGATGATAAACCACCCCCTGAACAACCCACTTATCTCAGAAACCCTGTTAGGGCTGCCATAAATCAGAAGTGACTTGATGGCATGTAACAGCCACCCCCCATAGTCTATTCCTTATTGCCATTGTTGGAGCAGGCAAGTCTGTGGTCTTGGGTAACACCGATGGAGCCATGTCTAAGGTGAAGAAGTTGGGTACTTAAAACTGGGTTGGTCTACTGGTAGTCCTCTAGTTAATTTGTAGAAGATGGGCATTAGAGCTGACTCCCAATTGTTTAACAATAGTAAGCTCCCCTTTCTCAAATTAGGCTACTCCCCATTAGCCCTCCAGAGGTGATAAGTACTGGATTTGGTGAAAGATCCTATGAACCATCCAAACTACCACCTGCATTTCATCTAAAATGAAATCTGAGTCCATTACGTAGGCTGCTCCTTGTAGGAAATATCCAAGAAATTTTGGATGGAGAACAAAATAAGGGATTTGGTAAAAATCAGCAATATTTCACAAGCCTTGCTCCCACACATTTAAGAAGAAGCCACAGAAAGCACAAATAAAGTTTTTTTTCCCTAGTCACATTTTACTATGCACGTGTGTTTTGTTTTTGTGCTAACTGTCTCTACCTTTTATTGGTGCTACCTGCCCTGTAGGAGACCATCTTAAGCTGGTCATGAAAGTTTCTACACAGGTAACAAACAAGGTCCCGAATAGTACAGAGAATCCAACAATTGAACACAAGGAGAACATTCTCTCTTGATTGCGGCACTCAACTTGGTTAGGTGGGAGACTGGTGGGATGGGGTGGCCGTACACAAGGATGGGAAGAGTTAGTCCAGGGTGCATTTATGCAGTGCTGTACATGCGTTGAATGGTACAGTCGGTGTAACTCACTGGTTCTTAACCTTGGGTTACTCAGGAGTTTTAGACTGCAACTCCCAGAAGCCTTCACCACCAGCTGTCCTGACTGGGGTTTCTGGGAGTTGCAGTTCAAAAGCATCCGAGTCACAAAGGTTAAGAACCACTGGTTTAACTGATCCACATGTTAATTTCGCATAAACATTTTAAGTGTATTTACAGGATGCCTGGAGCAAAACTATTTTTGGACCTGAGCATTTAGTGTTGGAGATTCTGTTCAAGTTTTGTTTGAAACCTCCCATGCTGCCTGTGGTTTGTGTGACTGGGACTTTTCGGGGCTAGGGTGATTGTTTGTCTATCCAGCAGAAACCAATCATTTCTGCCAGCTTTTCATTTCAAAGAGAGCCCCACCTCTTTGCTAAGTGTTCTTTTCCCTCTCTTTGGTCTGTTGCTGACAGTGTTGTTTGCTGTTCTTCTGTTCATTTGGTTGCTAAGTATGGCTGCAGTGAAGAAAGCAACATCTACAAGTCTGTAATTTCAAGCAACTATAAATAAAGACTTTTAAAAAAATATTTTCTTCTACGTATGTCTCAGACTCAGTTATTGAGACTTTAAGTGCCAGTTAATGAGAAAGGGGTGGGTTCTGGGGAATTGGTAGGTATTCTCTTATGTGGATCTCTGTATTTCTAGTGCATAGCAAAGGGGATTTTATCAGAAATTCAAAACTGCAACAGATTCTACATAAGGCTATTTTTATGAGTTGATAAGAAAAAGGGAAGATAACAGAGAAGAGAGAGAGAGGAGGCCCAAGGGGGGGTGAGTGAATGAAAAGCACTATGGAAGGCCAAGACTGCAGCCAAAGGGACATTCATCAAGCAACAGCTCTGAATCCAGAACTTCACAGCGTTCCAGCTGGGGGCTGCACAGTAGTAGATAGGCCTGAGATGAGAGAACCTGCAAGCTCACTAAATTATAAAAGATTTATTGGCTTGCATGCTGCACTTGTTTTGTTTTTCCATAAACTGCATGATTTTAATAAAGTGTATAATTATCCAGATTGTTCCAATGGCTTTCCTCTCTCTTTCTCCTTCTGTTAAATGAACCCCCTTGTCCATATATTTTTGGCTTTCTTTCACATTTTAATTTAATTTTTAATTGAATGAAACTATTTATTAAACTACAAGTGTGAATATATGTGTGTGATGTACCATCCAGCCGTTTTTGACTTATGGCAACCCTAGTAGGGTTTCTGAGGTAGATATTTAACTATTTATTAAACTACAAGTGTGAATATATGTGTGTGATGTACCATCCAGCCGTTTTTGACTTATGGCAACCCTAGTAGGGTTTCTGAGGTATGTGAGATATTTAAGGGGTGGTTTTACCAGTGCCATCCCCGAGGGAGTTCCCATG